TATAGTTGGTTTGGTTTAGTTTTGATAAAAATCGAACCAACCCGATCCATGTACACGGTTCTACATATTCTAATGTACAAAGTTAATTATTTCATTTCTTCCATTTTATGTGTCATAATTTTTTTTAATTTTTCTCAAAAGAATGCATTATTTTTATAATTACATATAATTTAACTTTAATTTTTTTATTTTACACTTAATGACATAATTTTATTTCAACGGAGATGTCTATGTCGTGTTTTTTAATCAAAAGATTTCTGTCTTTTTTAAATTTCGTGCTCAATGAAATACCTTCACATAAAAATAAAACAAAAAAGGTTCATGGATAAAATTATCTAAAATTTACTCTTTTCTTAGATTGTATGCTTATTAAATAAAGAAATAATATGATTCGGATCATGACCCGCATTCTCTTAGACTTAGTCTGGCGAATTCCCAATTTCCCANGGGTGGAGGGGTTTCTAGTTCTCAAGGTAATATAACATAAAAGAAAACCAACAAGGACTGTGATGGGTCGCTACCAAAAAATATTGAAGCTAGCTGTTAACTTCATTATTAATTTGTTGTTAAATCGCTTATAGCTAACATAATTTTTTGATAATATATCGTTAATCCATCACTAAATATGATTGACGATAGATTTTTTCTGTTTAGTAATGGATGTTAAGTATATTTTTATCTTTAATCAGAAATTTCATTGGAGCATTGAATATAAAATCGTTTTATCAGGGATTATTTTAATTTTAATGTAAGACTTTTCAAAATATATTCAAATTTAATTGAGCTCTAATATAATACGAAATGGGAAACCAAAAAACAAACTCAAAGGGAAAAACAAATGTCCGTGAAGGACGTGCAGATTCTTTTACTAATACTTGCCCTCGTTGACTTTTGAATTTCCATTGTTTTATTCTTAAGTTATTATAAGGATTTTGGTTTTTCTTTATTTGCATGCATTTCATCCCCTACACGTCATTGCTTTCATCTTTTTCTTCAAGAAATTTTTTCCACATAATTAACAAATTAATCGAAAAGGCTCATCAACTTATAAGTAGTGGAACAATGTCACTAAAATTTGAACTCGCAGCAATATAATTTAAATTTTAACCTCTTATCAATAAAATATCGACACTATAGATAGTTTCATCTATACTAATTAACTAAAAGTTATCATATATAATCACAAAGTACATGCGAATAGTGTTTTAAAACAATGCTTTCAATTAGAAAAGTTGTTTGGTTGTTAGGGACTTTTCTTGGTTGAGTATCGTTCATTACTAATACGTAATAGAACATAACAATAAAACTTAAAGTAATAAAGGAAATTCTCAAAACAAAAGAAATAAAGATAAAAATTAAAGTGGCCAACATATACATTTATTTTTGTATTAATATCTTAAAAAAATAGGTTATGTAGGCCATTAAGTGTTAAAAGAAAGTAAGAATTCACACACTATATATATATACACCAAACAAATGCGACCGGAAACAATTTACACTTTTACCTATCGGAGCTAAAATATTTTCAAAAAGTTGCACGACATGTCCTCCAACGAGATTGGTCTTTACGGAATGTCCCCCAATTTATTAAGTTCTTAGCAAAATATATTCTTTTTTATGTAAATATTATAGTTCTTTAATATTTAAATTTTAAATTTACCGGAAAAAGTCCAAGAGATATCCCTTAAGAGCAAAATCATACCAGCGTGATAAATTTGAAAAACAATTTAACAAATATGGGTAGACTAAATATAGCATACACTTTATTTAGTCCACATGCTAGACAAAAGTCCTAAAGGTAGCAATATTATTCAAATTCGTAAAAATTGTATTTTAGTCTTGTTCAATATCAACTCTTCTTAATTGACTTGACCAAACTTAACCTACCCACTATAAAACGCTATGAGCCAATTTGACTTTGAAAAGTGGGGTCTAATTAGTTAAACCCCTCCCTTCAACAAGAGATTATTAGGTTGATCCTATTACCTTAGAATGATTCTAGAGAAAATATAAATTGGAAAAATACAATCTTGGGAAGTATAAATTCTCAATTAATCGTCAATGCTTTTGGAGAAAAAATGACAAAAATATCCTTGATGTTTGGGTTTATAGAGGTCCTTTAAGTAGGCGTTTGGACATAAAAATTATAATTTTTGGAAAAAAGTAATATTTGGAGTTAAATTGAAAAATAGTATTTTGAATTTGAAATTATGTTTGGACATGCATTTCACTTGAAAAAATATTGCAGTTTTGTTAATGGGGAAAAAAGTTTCTCTGAAAATTTTGAAAAGCTCATTTTCGAAAAAATTCTAAAAAACTTATAATATTTCATGGACAAACACATTTTTGAATTTGTTTTTAAAAAACGTTTATGGACAAACGGGGCCTAAATATATTTGCAAGGTAGTTTTGGTCCTTTAAGTTTACTAAAAATGAACACTTTTTATATTCGTTAAATATTTAAACAAATTCGGACAGTTAATAACACTGTAAAAGAGAAGATTTAATGGGAACAAATGTTAACTACCAAACCCATAGGTGAACACCCCGCGCAAATTATTGCCTCTGGTAGATCCTTTTAGATAACCATTAGGCCATTAGGAAATCATTTAAGAACATTAATTATAAATGGCGTTGACTAAATTATCCTTATTTTGTTTTCTTAGATGAGTAATTAATGGTTATATGCCTTATGAGAGTGGTAAGAATATATAATTAAAAATAATAACTAATAGCTTCGTGGTTTACTAAGTTACTACTCCCTCCGCTCACTTTTACTTGTCCAGTATTCTAAAAATAGATTTTTACTTTTACTTGTCACTTTTTAGCATATCAAAAGAAGACAATTTCTTTTTTCTGTTATACCCACAGTATTAATTACTCATTTCAAATCATTTTATCAAATCCATTAAAAATATGTATCAATTAATATGGGTATCATGATAAATTATGTATTTCATTTATTATTTTCTAAGGGGTGTGCAAAATTCATACTGGACAAGTAAAAGTGAACGAGGGATTATATATCATGGATTATATTTAATGGCTAAGGTGAATGGTTGAAAATACCGGAGAAAGTAGTAAATATAATTAATGATTAAAATATTTTCAAATATTAAGAAGTTTAATATTTTTTAGTAATTAATAGGAAAATAGTGGCACCTAAATGAAACAAAGGGGATATATCATTTTTTGTTGAATGGGGACAATACTTAGCGTTTGGACATAGATTTGATTAAAACTTGAAAGAAGAGTTTTTGGAGTTGTGTTGAAAAAAAAAATTCCGAAAATTTAAGCTGTGTTTGAACATGCATTTTATTTGAAGAAAAGTTAAAGTTTTGCAAGTGAAAAACAAAATCCACCCAAAAACTATCATAAATCAGTTTTTGGGAACTTGAAAATTTTTGAATTTGTTTTCCCCAAAACATATCATATTTCATAAAACAAACAATGTTTTTAATTTTTTTTTTTTGAATAAATAAAGCCAAAATCTAGAGTAAATTTTATGGGTGGTCATTCAACTCTATGTTCATTACTCAAAAGTCAATTTTCTTTCTTTTGTTACATAAAAGTTATTCAACTTTGTGTTCATTACCTAAAAGTCACTTTTCTTTCTTTTGTTACACAAAAATTATTTTACTATGCTCCAGTTATAATAATAATCACTTTGACCAAATTTTACAAATATTTTACCTAAAATGTCTATTATGCCCTTGACATTATAAATCCTTCTATTTATATCATACCTTCTATATTATATTCCATATAATATATTTTACCCAGACATTTTATTTATAATTAAAATAACTTAATATTATTTTATTTATTATTTTTATAATATATTCGTACATTTAATTTTTTTCTTAAAATTAATTTTCAAGATATATAAGTAGCATTATTAAATTTGTCAGCAACATTACCGTGAACAAATCTCAAGTTCACGTTCTTAATCATGCTTAATGAAATATATTTAATAAAAATTAAAAAAATAAAGCTCGTTGATTTATCAGCCAAGCCATACCCATTAATTTAATAAATAAATTACCCACATTTAGCAAAATAACACATCAAATTAATACTTTCAAATAAATAATATTAACAGATAAAGCTTTAAAAAACTTAATACTAAATACAAATATCTTTGAAACTTCTTTTAAAATTTTTATAGACTATAAAAAAATAATCATTTGTTAAACAAATCTGTTTTTATTATTTTAAATAAATATTAAAAAATAAATAGTTTTTTATTATTTTTATATTTAAAACATGTTCATGTTTGAATATGATTAAATAAATGGAGTGCCATGGAAAAATTAAATGTATGGATATATTATAAAAATAATAAAATGCAATGGATAATTGAAAGAAAGTGGTTTCATACATTTAATTTTTCCATGGCACTCCATTTATTTAATCATATTCAAACATGAACATGTTTTAAATATAAAAATAATAAAATGCAATGGATAATTGAAAGAAAGTGGTTTCATACATTTAATTTTTCCATGGCACTCCATTTATTTAATCATATTCAAACATGAACATGTTTTAAATATAAAAATAATAAATAAAATAATTTAAAGTTATTTTAATTATAATAAAATATCTAGGTAAAAATATATTATATAGTATATAATATAAGAGGTATTATACATAAATGGGAGAATTTATAATGTCAAGGACATAATAGACTTTTTAAGTAAAAGTATTATAAAATATGGTTAAGGTGACTTTTGTGATAAATATGGCAAGGTAAAATAATTTTTGTATAACAAAAGAAAAAAAAGTGACTTTTACGTAATGACACAAAGTTGAATGATTTTTACGTAATAGAAAAAAATAATAATAAATTTTGCGTAATGAACACAAAGTTAAACAATAAAATTTACTCTCAAAATCAATAATGGTCAAACCGGAGCTAAAAGTGAATTTTGAAGAAAATGACAATATAAAACCCAGAAAGAATCAAAACGCGGAGGCTTTGTGAGTGGGAAGACGAACTAGAAGTGGTGGTGTGGTTATCTTAAAATACCATATTTCCCTTTTCCTTTTCCTATCAAACAATTACTACACAAATATCTCAAAAAAGATGAAAACTACCAAACTTCCCATCAATGTCCAAATATCTATAGAGAAGTACAAAAGCTAAGAAATAGCCAATTCTTGAAGTCAACAATGAGAAGCATTAACTGCAAAAAACACCATTGTTACCAATATTGCTTCTTCTCACTTCTAATTTCACAAATTCTTCTACCAAATCTTGCATTACCAACTGATACAATTACCATTACAAATCCCCTTACCATAAACCAAACCTTAGTATCTAAAGAAAAAAAGTTCAAATTAGGTTTCTTTACTCCAGGTGGTTCAAATTCAGGCAAATCGTATGTTGGAATATGGTACAATGAAATTCAAGATTCAACTATTGTTTGGGTTGGTAATAGAAACAACCCTGTAACAAATTCATCATCTCATGTTTTAAAAATTAGCCAAAATGGAAATATTGTTCTAGTTGATGGAGCTGGAAATTCTATTTGGTCAGCAAATCAAGAATCTCAGTCTACGGCGAAAAACACAGTAATTGCTCAGCTTCTTGATTCTGGAAACCTTGTTGTTCGATATGAAAATGATGAAAATGAAGAGAACTATTTATGGCAAAGTTTTGATTATCCTACGGATACTTTATTACCTGGGATGAAACTTGGATGGGATTTGAAAAGTGGGCTAAATAGGAATATAACATCATGGAAATCTCCATTTGATCCAGCTCCTGGAGATTATACATTTAAACTTGATATAAATGGATTGCCAGAAGCTTTTTTGACAAATAAAGATGATATTTTCTATAGGAGTGGACCTTGGAATGGAGTTGGATTTAGTGGTGTTCCTGAAATGAAACCAACTGAGATTATGGCATTCGAGTTTCAAATGAGCAAAGATCAAGTTTACTACACATTTCAGGTACGTCAAGCGCACGTAAAAATTCTTTTTTAATAATACTCGGTGATAAGATTCGAACTTATGAGTTCGCTCCGGCGGCGAAGCCAGGAAATTCAACAAGGGTGTTCAAAACTTTGTCAGTGGGTTATGTAAGGGTGTTCAAAGTCTATTTTTAATCAATAATAAGTAATATTTTATCTTATACGTAATATAATTTTCCGACGAAAGGTGGTCAGTTGACCACCCTTGGAGGAACGTAACTTCGCCCCTGGTCTGCTCAGATACCATGTTGAATTGTATGAGCATAAAATTTAAGTTGATTGAGAAAACATATTTTTATTTATTTAATTATATTTTCGACAGATACTTGATAAAGAAATATGTTCAAGATTGTTGGTGAAGCATAATGGTGTTTTAGAGAGGTATACTTGGATTTCGACTAGTAATATTTGGAACAGGTTCTGGTACGCACCAAAAGACCAATGTGATTTTTACGAAGAGTGTGGGGTATCAGGAATTTGTAACGCGAATCTTTCGCCAGTATGCAAATGTCTAGTGGGATACAAGCCTAAAAATCAAGTGGCATGGGATTTAAGAGATGGATCAGATGGATGTGTTAGATATCATGATTTAGACTGCGAAACTGATGTTTTCAACACATTAAAGAACATGAAATTGCCAGAAACTTCAAGTTCGTTTGTGGATACGAAGATGAATTTGGATGAATGTGAAAAAAAGTGTAGGTACAACTGTTCTTGCACGGCGTACACTAGGTCGAATATTACTGGGGCTGGTTCTGGTTGTGTCATTTGGACAACTGAACTTGTTGACATGAGGCAATATTCAGCGGCGGAAGGTGGCCAAGTTCTCTACGTTAGAGTTGCTTCTTCTGACGCAGGTATGTTCCCGTTCACTTTTTACTTGTTTATTTTGGACTTTTCGCTCCCCTTAATAGACTTTTCACGTCACTTAATAAATACTAATAAATATAGTATTTATTTTACCATACTAATCCCTAATAATAATAGCCTTTCAAAAGGTTTTGGAAAATAAGTTTGAAAATGAGTAATTAATGATAAGGGTAAATAAGAAAAAAAAATTGTCTTTTCTTTTGATTTAATATAGTGCACAAGTAAAAATAAAAATATATTTTTAATATAGTGGACAAATAAAAGTGAACGGAGTATTATATTTTAGTGGAGATAAGTCGGAATCAACTATATTTGGATATTTTTTCGTATGTGCATTAATTTATTTGTGTTGCATAATTTTTGGAGTAGTTCCTAGTTAAGATCCACTATCTTCAATTATTGGCACAGTAGGAGCGAGTTGAGTCGACTCAATTTGCCGAAGTGGTTGGGTGTTAGTAGAGATATAGATTTTTTATTTATTTTTTTGGTTGGACTTATATTATAAGCAAAATAATAATAATTATAAATATGATGGGATAACAGAATTACAATTTTATACAATTAGGTCTTGGCGTATTATTCCACTCTAACTACTTGCCGAATTATTGAAGAGAGTATAATTCCCTTAAAGAGAAAGGTATACTCTCTTCAAATTATATGTGGTGATTTCTAAAAATAATTATTTCAAGTTCATGACAAAATTAATTGCCTTTCTCTCATTTACGTACCGCCCCTTAATAGTAATGATTTTTGAAGATGAAGATAACACAAAAATAAAGTAATATTAAATAAAAAAAATTGTATTTTAAGACATAAATAAGAATAAAATAGTCAAAATTTATTTTAATTAATATTTTTTAAGAGATATAAAAGAGAAACACGACAGAGAAATCAGAATAGTTTTTTGCTGACCCACGTAACCTCTTTTATTTTTCTCTTATTTTAACTTTGGGGTTGTAACAATTTTGTTCTTTGAAAAAAGACACCTCGTTTAACTTAATTCTTTGTTTTATCTTATCAATGACAGTTATACTTAATTAATAAAAAAGTTGTTGCCTAGTTGGTATGTACTACACTTGGAAAACCAAGAAACTAGAATTATACAAATAAATTATTGATTGAGTGCATTAACTCCTGACAAAGACTTGAAAACATTAACTTTTCAAAGTTATTTTCTTGCTATATATATATA